AGTATGATTTGATGCTTATTGTACCCTATGACTATCATTAAGTGTTGTACCTTATGATTTTTGACTCTTGATGAATGTATCTTTTCTTTTATGTACACTGAGAGCATTTGTACCAAGACAAATTCCTTGTGTGTCCAATCACACTTGGCCAATAAAGAATTCTATTCTATTCTATTCTATTCTATTCATTATTTCTGTTGGATACTTAGTGACATTCTTAATGTCAACACTACCCTGAGCCCAGTTTGGTCAAACTCAGTTCAAAATAGGTCTAGGTAAAATTCTGGGAGATAAAATTTACAAAAACTTCATGAGCTTCTGAAGAATTGTCAAGGTGGGTAGAATTATTACCACCTTCTTCCTTTTGTACGTGATTATGTACCTTTAGGGTAGATGATGGATATCAGTTTATTAGGTGAGTTTTCTCCTCTTCATTGCCTCTTTTTCCAATTCATTTTCTGCCTGCTTTAAACCTATACAATACACAGGAGTAGTACTAGAAAATTCATGGAGTAGTTATTCTCAGAATAGAATTCTCCAATCTGGTGCTCTCCATATATGTAGTGCTCTAGATCAGCAGTTGCCAACGGGTGGGCCGTGGCCCACTGGTGGGCTATGAGAAAATTTTGGTGGGCCGCAGAGAAATCTCACCCCCAGAGCACCCCCACAAAGCAATTAATCCAGGCTTCACAGAAACACAAGGCTGCTCAGCCCACATGGCCTGCGCGCGGGAACCGTCCCCGCCCACTCACTCCTTACCAGTCAAACTTGTCTGCTAAGTTGCTATTTTTCCTTTTTTCCGACCATCATCTGTTCTGCTGTGCCAGGAGATTTAGATTAGTTAGGAAGCAGGAAATGGTTGGATTTCTTGCTTTCTAGCTAAGCACAGCCAAATCTCCCTTAGGACTGAAGGTTTGCTTGCAAGCAAATTCAGACTCACCGCAAGCAAATTTGAGAGACTGAGCTAGCCGATGGCAGATAGATAGATCACTGAATGATTCTGTGAGCAACTCAATCTGCCTGCTTTGCCTGATTTTGGGTAAAAGTTGCTCTTTTTTAAAATAAAAAATTCAATATTTACATTCATGCTGTGTTGTGAGTTAATTTTGTGAGTTTGCTTGCAAGCAAATTTTATGTGACAGACTGAGCTAGCCAATGACAGATAGATAGATTTCTGAATGAATCTGTGATTCTGTGAGCAACTCAATCTGCCTGCCTGATTTTAGGTAAAAGTTGCTCTTTTTAAAATAAAAAATTCAATATTTATATAAATATTTATAATATTTACATACAAGCCATGCCCAAGCCACACCCACAAATTAGGCCACGCCCACAGAACCAATTAGTGGTCCCTGGGATCTAAAATTATGAGTTTGGTGGTCTGGGAGGTCCAAAAGGTTGGCAACCCCTGCTCTAGATCAGCAGTCCCAGTCTTTAGAAGGCAATTTTCCCATGGAGCAGGGTTGGAGGAAGCGGAGTGTGCAACCTACATCCCTTGTGTGTGCAGTTTACAGTACAGTAAACAGTACCTGAGTGACATTGAGCTGGCCACACATCCTAGCCATGTCTCCCCCATCCCTTCTGAGGTCAAACACAACCCTGATGCAACCCCCAATGAAATCGAGTTTGACATTCCTGTTCTAATGTATCTGGAGAGTACAGCTTAGAGAAGGCTGCCTGCAAGGTTCTTTGAGGATTACAGTATCTCATTAAAACTTTTTCAAAACACTCCGTAATTAAACACTGTTTGCAACTCATTTGGGATTCATCAATAAACTTTCTGCCATTAAAACTTTGAAGATATTTTTGTGGTTCTATAATTGTCAATAACTATCAGTGTTAATATGAAACACGGCTCTCTTCAGGTACAGTTTCCCAGCAGAGAAAAACTAATGAGACCCATTGTGCCAGGATAAAACATTTAAAACAATGAGATATAATGATGACTGGGGATCAGATCTCCTTAGATGATACTTCTCTCCTTAGTCATTCAAATTTTCTATGAACACAAATTGCCAAAAAAAGAAACAGCTCAGGAGATTTTCAAAGAATTTCAAACCTAATCAACAAAAATGGCTGCCCATTTAAGAGAAGAAACTTTATTTGAAATGAGGTGAAGCTAGTCCTTTCTCCCTGTGTTGCTTTTTCTTGCAGCTCTTCCTTGAAGTTGCTGGGAGTTTCCCCCTTTCTCAGAGGGGTTAGCCACAGCTTTAAGAGGTGGCCAATTGAGTGGCATCCTCCATCTAATTTCCTGGATCAAAATAAGGGAAACTTAGATGGACGAACACTTTTAAGACCAATGCTGAATAAACTTTTCTGGACTATAGCCCCACTTGATGTCTATGGAGATTCTCAGTCATCCAGGTCATGCTTGTCCCAAAGGTGCTTTTTGAAAAAGCAACTGGACTTTCTTGGTTTTTCCTTGAAGACCTTTTGCTTCTCATCCAAGAAGCTTCTTGGATAAGAAATGAAACATTTTCAAGGAAAAACAAATCACCTTTAAGCCCCACTAAATGGCCACCACTCTATCCCTCAAGCAAGTGGAAGAAATCTAAAGAAGTTAGTAGAAATCTATGGTAAACCGAGAATACTTGAACCCTTTACAACTGGATTTCTACTATAGATCTGGAACTGAGGTAGCTGTGGCTGATCTAATAGAGACGTCATAATAGAGACAATTGAGACAAAGTGTACAGTATTTGCCCATATTTGTTCTGTGAGTCTTCACAACAGGTTTTCATACCAACATTAGTGGTAGTTTCTGAGTTTCTATTAGACATAATAGAAAAAAACGAGTTGGAAGGGATCTTGGAGATATTCTAGTCCAATCTCTACTCAAGCAGGAAACCCTATATCATTTCAGATAACCTTCAGATAAGGTTATCCATTAATTAGAGAATAGTAGGTTTTTGGGGGGATAACTTTGATCCAACAGTGAAACAAGTCCAAGAAGACCATAGTATATGGGGCATCTGTTCCATTCCTTGGTTTCTGGTCTCTGGAATTCCTGCATTTTTCATCTGATTCCTTCTGTTAATTAAAATAATGAATCTGGAGTTGTATATCTTCAATATGCTTGTCTCCTGGCTCAGAATTTTGTTACTTGTGAGTCTGGGAAGATTGTGGCAATCTTGAGCCAATCCAAAATGGAACTAGGGTGGATGGGAGCAACCAAGTAATGATTTGTTCCAGGCAAGAAATAAATTATGGTGGTCAACAAGAAAACCAGTGTCAGATTTGGAGCACTATCTGTTCCCAACAGGTTCACTTCATTCTTCTGAGCCTGTATCTGACACTGCTTCTGAATTTCTGGCAACTGCTGCCAGAACAGCTTTTCCAGTGCTTCAGCTAGTGAACTACCTACATCTTTTCTGGGTTATGAAGTGGGACTTTCTACAAAATCAATTCTCTTTGAGTCTTGAACACCAATCTATTATTAAACATGTTCATGTGTTCTGGAAGCCCCCAAATGCAACTGTTGTTAATAACCAATCAATACCATTTGTTAAATAATATTTGAAGGCTAAAGTTAAAAGCCCTCTTTATATGTTTACGTAAGTCATCACTGTAATTTGATGAGTTTCTGTAAAATTAATTAAGATAATGTGAATTGTCATTATCATCCATTTGATACATTTAGTATTAATTGGATAAATTCATATACTTAATATGAGGAAAAGTGTAGAAACCTGAGCTCAAGCTTCCCTTACATATGTCTTTATCTAAGGGCCTCAAGAACTACAGCTAAATTGTTATTTTAACTGTTATCAAGAATAACCTTGGTTTCCAGCACCTAGTATTTATGATCATCAGGAATTTATTGTAATTGAAAATGGCTGGCTTACATTATTGACATTAGCACTTCATTTATCCTGTTTGTGCTTTCTACTTCAAGTTCATCTGCCAATTTTAGACCCCTAATTACTTTTACCTGAATTTGAAAATATTTACAGACAAGGGCCTAAATTGATCCATTTTCATTCTTCCTATAAGACTATGATCCATTTTCATTCTTCCAAAAGACATTGCAAATTTAGAAGGAAATAAATGAAAAAAGTGGTTAAAACCAAATTAAAACCAGTACTTAGAAATGCAACACAAGTCATAGGAAATAAATATTTATTAAATTATTATGGCATAAACATTTGTAGAGTGCTGAAGTTTTCTGGCTCTCTCAATGGCATTTTATCTGGCCATTTGGTAGAATGGTGGTGTCTAACTTTCAATGGGGAAATAAAAATTTGGGGGACGTGATTGTTTTAAGAGGACTGAGAGTGGCAAGATCAGAAACAAACTGTTGAACAATGTTAACAAAACCTAATGTAGATGCCCTCTACCTTAAAAACTGAGAAACAAGAGAAATTAGTTACAGGTGAAACACACCTCAAAGCCCGTTGGATTTTGCTGTAGTTCATTTTAGCTGAAATAATAAAAATGGCCTCTTTTACTGAAGCTTCAAATAAAACCAACTTCTTTGTCCAGGTGTTGTTGGAATGTTTAGCTGTTATCTCCTGAGCACAAGTTTGAATTCCTAAAGAGAAGTATTTGTGTACCATGGGTGAAGGAGTTAAATTTTTAATATAATCTGATTCCCTGAATTATTCCAAAAATGACACAAAACAGAAAGAAAATGTTCAAGAGTTTGTACAAAAAAAGAGTATACTAACAACAAAAATGTGCATTTATTAAAAGTATTGGTCTTGTTGTGCTAAATAATTGTACCCTATGACTATTATTAAATGTTGTACCTTATGATTCTTGACTCTGAATGAATGTATCTTTTCTTTTATGTATAGGAGAGTTTTTGCACCAAGACAAATTCCTTGTGTATCCAATCACACTTGCCCAATAAAGAATTCTATTCTATTCTATTCTATTCTATTCTATTCTATTCTATTCTATTCTAGTCTAGTCTAGTCTAGTCTAGTCTAGTCTAGTCTAGTCTAGTCTAGTCTAGTCTAGTCTATTAAGGTGTGACCTTCATTAGTCATTGGCCGTCATTATTGATCTTCTTTATTCTTGATCTTTATTATTCTTTGGATGGCTTTCTGAATCTCTTTGTTCCTTAAAGTATAGATCAGTGGATTAAGCATGGTGGTGACAAAGGTATAGAAGAGGGAAATCATCTTGCCTTGGTCACCAGAATAATTGGATGGAGATTGGAGATAACTGGAGATGGCTGAGCCATAGAAGAGTGACACCACCATTAAGTGGGAGGAACAGGTTTTGAAAGCCTTTCTTTTACCTTCAGCTGAGGGGATCCTCAGCACAGCAGCCCCAATGTAGCCATAAGATACTGTGATGAGACCCAGAGGTAGTAGAAGGAACACCACACTGGAGGCAAAGATCTCTGCCTCATTAACAGAGATGTCCACACAGGCCAATTTGATTAAGGCTGGTAGCTCACAGAAAAAATGGTCTATCTGGTTCTGGCCACAACGTGGAAGACTAAAAGTCATAACTGTTTGAACTACTGAATTGCTGAAGCCACTTCCCCAGGAGACAGCAGCCATTGTGAAACACAGAGACTGGCTCATAATGGTAGTGTAGTGCAGTGGATGATAGATGGCGGCATAGCGGTCATAGGCCATGACAGCTAACAAAATACATTCCGTGGAGCCCAGAGCAAGAGAGATGTAGAGCTCACCCACGCAGGCACCATAAGTGATAGTCTTGCTTTTTCTCCAGAAATTCACCAACATCTGGGGCCCAAGACTGGTGGTATAACAAAGATCAAGAAAGGAAAGATTGCTGAGGAAGAAATACATGGGGGTATGGAGATGGGGATCTAATCTTGATACCATAATGATAGTAATGTTGCCCAACAGGGTCATCATGTAGCAGGTCAGAACAAGTCCAAAGAGCAACATCTCCAAATATGGTCGGTCAGCTACTCCCAATAATATGAATTCTCCTTGATAGCTTTGGCTACTGTCTTTCCATGAGGCATTATTTCCATGGATCATCTGCTTAAAAAACAAAGCAAAACATAATAACAGAGTTGGAACAGACACTGGAGGTCTTCTACTCCAACCTCAAACAGGACATCCTACACCAGTGATCGCCAACCAGTGGGCCGTGGACCCCTGGTGGTCCATGAGAAAATTTTGGTGTTCCACAGAGAAATGTCACCTCCAAAGCAACCCCCAAATCAATTAATCCAGGCTGTGTGGGAACACAAGGCTGCACCACCCACATGGCCCATGGGAACACAAGACTTATGTCGCTTGCATTGTGAACAACACGAAGTAGTGAGAGGAGGGAGGAAAGGGTGGAGGGGAGTAATTTGCCCCACTCACCCCATGTGCCTCACCTGGCCACCGGGCTTCTTTCAGCTTCTTTCTTCTTCTGCTTTTGGCTGCATGCAAGGAAAGCAGCAAAAGTCTTTCTTTTCCTCCCCCAAACTCCGCCAGAAATGAGACTTCGGGGCCCTGCAAGGCATCCTGCTCCAAGAGGCTGTGCTGGCACAACAAGTCTCACAAAGATTCATTTCTGGTGGAGTTTGGGGGAGAGAAAGACAGACTTCTGCTGCTTCTACTGCTTTCCTTGCATAAAGTCAAAAGTCTCTCTCTCCCCCCACCCCCGAGAACAGAGCTGGAGATGGTATCCTGTGATCCCAAATAAAGAATGATCAATCAGTAGGAAAACATGGTGGGGAATTTTCTTGCAGACTTTTTTTGAGATTTTCCCAAGGTCTCTGGTCCACAGGATTTAAAATTATGAGTTTGGTTGTCCCTGAGGTCCAAAAGATTGGCGACCCCTGCCCTACACCATTTCAGACAAATGGCTGTTGAATCTCTTCTTTAAAATCTCCAGTGTTGGAGCATTCACAACTTCTGGAGGCAAGTTGTTCCACTGATTAATTGTTCTAACTGTCAGGAAATTTCTCTTTAGTTCTGAGTTGCTTCTCTCTTTGATTAGTTTCCACTCATTGCTTCTTGTCCTGCCTTCAGGTGCTTTGGAGAATAGCTTGGTTCCTTCTTCTTTGTGGCAGCCCCTGAGATATTGGAAGACTGCTATCATGTCTCCCCAGTCCTTCTTTTCGCTAGACTAGACATACCCAATTCCTGCAAGCAATCTTCATATGTTTTAGCCTTCAGTCCCCTAATCCTCTTCGTTATTATTCTTTGCACTCTTTCTAGAGTCTCAGCATTTTTGAAATATTGTAGTGACCAAAACTGGATGCAATATTTCAAGTGTGGTCTTACCAAAGCATTATAAAGTGGCAAGATCACTTCACGTGATCGAGATTCTATCCCTCTGTTAATGCAACCTAGGACAATACACGTGAAAATAAATAAATCACCAACACAATATGGAAGGCTATAAAGAAGTGATATAGAAAGAATTGTGGCTTGTCTGAGCAGCAAATATTGCTTTGGACATGAATCTGTGATCCAGAAATATAGTTAATCTTGGTCATAGCTAGCTATATCTTTTAGCTCTTCGATCGCCAGTGAACTACTATGTGAGAGGATAAAATATGTTTTTGATACCCTGATATTTGGACAGAATTCCTGGTACAGATTTGAAGAACATGCTTTTCATCTTACACATCTTTCTCTCTTGGTTAAGAGTCCAAGAAGTATAATTGGACTGCAATAAATCAAATCCTCAATATAGTCATAGAACAAAGTTGAAATACCAATAACAACTTGACACCTGATGGGATCCTAAGACCTATCAAAATCACCTATGATTCTGTAAAGTTACAGTTTGAATGAGAGTGCAATTAATAATGTCATAAAGAAATCACAAGCTTTTGATTAAATCAACCACAAACTGATTTCTTTATAGCTTTATTTCTTTTGCGACATTATGGATCAGGTCTTCTCACCTTATTTTATTCTACTCTTTGGAAGGTGAATTTCCCCCTAATGACTTCTCCACCTATCCTTGCCTCATTTCTTTCTTTACATGTTTCCAACCTTTTATTCTTTGAGGATCATCTTAGTTCCCTTTGCAAATTCTGCCTCCCCCTTTTCTCTCTTTCATTGTCATTTTCATCTTTCAAAACGATTTCTGATGTCCCTTCCACCTTAAATGTAAAATTCTCTGAACAAATGATGTAAGAGAACAGTATTATAGTAAGCCTTAGCTCAGAAAAATTATCTAGGGACAGAATTTTCATGACAAACCATCTATGACAGTACAGGTCACATTGCATGTTGAAAGTACAAATCCCAAATTGAAAAAAATATTCATACAATTAGTATGATATGATATATTTTGGTCACCATGATGCAAAAAAGATGTTGAGACTGTAGAAAAAGTGCAGAGAAAATCAACAAAGATGATTAGGAGACTGGAGGCTAAAACACATGAAGAATGGTTGCTGGAATTGGGTATGTCTAGTTTAATGAAAAGAAGGACTAGGGGAGACATGATAGCAGTCTTCCAGTATCTCAGGGGTTGCCACAAAGAAAAGGGAGTCAAGCTATTCTCCAAAGCACCTGAGAGCAGGATAAGAATCAATGGGTGGAAGGAAAGAAGCAACGTAGCACTAAGGAGAAATTTCCTGACTGTTAGAACAATTTATCAATGGAAAAACTTGCCTCCAGAAGTTGTGAATGCTCCAACACTGGAAGTTTTTAAGAAGATGTTGGATAACCATTTTTCTGAAGTGGTGTAGGGTTTCCTGCTTAGGCAGGGGATTGGACTAGAAGACTTAAAAACTCTCTTATTCTATTCTATTCTATTCTATTCTATTCTATTCTATTCTATATAATATGTTACTATACAATTAATATAATGTAATATTTATATATGTAAGGGTACAACCACATAACCCATGACCCAATTAAAAACAAACTCAATTATGGGTTGTATACCAGACACAGATCAGCAGCCTTCTTTGCTGCTGATTCAGAGATTCAGTAAACTTCTCTATTTGGCCTCAAGATGATAAAATCAAGCTGGTCAGGTTAAAACATTTTTGGAAAAATATTTAATCTCTGTCCTTTTGGTCATTTAAATTACTTCTGCAACTTATAGTCTCTTGACTTCCATCCCACCCTAAGATACTGTATTTTCAACATTCCTCTGTATTGGGAAGGAGCTTCTTTCTCTCCATATCAAGTTTTGTACTGAGGCTAGGAATATCTTTGATGCATCAATTTTGGGATGTGAAGGTCTGCAGCTGTATTTTTGTCTTGCTGCTTGAAAGAGACAGTAAATAACTTTGTTTTAGAAGGAAGGGGCTGACCTCATGACTTCGTTATCCATGGTTCAGCTCTGGATAGGTGGAAACCTTCAACACTACAGAATAAACTGAGCGTCTCTCATACAAGGTAAGAGGAGGAAGAGTTTCCTGAGTTATTCCTGAACTGTGGAAGAGAGGAAGAGAAGCAAGCAAGCCAAAAAAATAAAGGAAAAGGAAAAAAGATAGTTGGAGAAGGATGCAGACTAATGTGGTGGGATGAGGGGAGTGCAACAAAAGTGATGAAAAAATGAGAACTGGAAAGCTTGTTGAGAACACAGTAAATGGTTGATCCACTATATTGAATTAATGGATAATTACATATTTATGCATCTCCATCAGAGATCAAATTATTAAGGTCTTTATTACATTATTCTATAGCCAGATGCAGATTTTATGCCCCATTAACAGCATAGACAATTCTCATACCACATGTTTCTGGTTTAAATTCATTTATGTAACAAACTATTTTGTTGCTGGAGTATTTGTGTCTTAAGCCATGAGATGCTGAGAACTCAGGGCCATTGGATTTGGACCTCAAAGAATAGAGTCCATGAATTAAGCATAAACTGGGTTTTACTGGGGAAAAGATTCCAGCCACTCTCCAAATATGGGAATGATCTGATCATGTTAGAGTCCTATCTGTTTTTTCACTGTCTTCTTTTTTCTATTTCATTACTTATTCTAGTGTACACAGAAAATGAACAGGGAAACCTCGTGGAAAGAAAGTAAGTAAAGCTATCAAGAAAGGTTTTATTTTTTAATATGTCTGAAATAAATATTTCAATTTTATTAAAAACAAAACAAAAAACAAAATGATCACCAACATCCAATGATGGATATGGCACAAGAAGAAGTTATAATGATATTCTTAAACATAAGAAGGAAAATATGGCATTGATCTCTACTACCCACCCTACCGGTTCCTCTTCTGATCAGCCTCTTTAATTCAATCTTGGTTATTCGGGTTCCATACTGTATCCCAAGATATCAGCTGTGACGATGCACAGGGTCTTGTGCTGCAGATAGTAAGAACTGTTTTGTGGGTATCAGCATGGAGAAGGAAGCTGTGATCTTGTTATTGTCTGCTGCCTTCTGAATTAAAACCACCAAGAATCCTAGATCATGCTGAATGCTAATTAGGAGAGAGATTAATCATTGAAGCCATGTATTTCCTCTCCCCTAAAGGCCTTTCACCATTGAGTCATATCCTCTGAAGTGGTGATGTACAGAAGGGATATACAGGGAAGGGCTAATTAATTCATTAAGGAAGATGAAAAGAAAGATGAAAAAGGTTTTATCATGAGTTAATTAACCAAGCAATCTAAAAGGCCGTTTGAGGAGGAGGGAAAGAGCCTCTGCCTCTGCCTGAGTTTTGGGTTTTCATCGGCAAAACCTACCTGGCTGGAGAATTCTGGGAGTTGAAATCCACAAGTCTTAAAGTTGCCAAGTTTGGGGACCCCTGTTTTAAAGCTTTTCACTATTCCCCTCTACTTTAGTGTTAGTTTTATTTTTGTTTTTTTGAATCAGTATCAGGGGTGGGCAAACTTTTTGGCTCGGGGGCCTCACTGACTGTTGGGGATACACCCCTAGCAAGATCTGCAGGGCAGGCAGGCAGGCAGGCAAAATATGTGAGATTGTAGCTTACACTCAGTAAACAGAGGCACAGTGCTAATTAAATAGTTTTATTCCGGCAAGAGTTAAAGCATAGTCAAAACAGTCCATATATCATTCACTTAGTTCAGTCCGTCCAGGGATTATTCATTT